TTGTTTGCAACTGTTCTAAATAAAAACATTTACTCAGCATTTGTTTCTGTGACAACAAACGTTTACTAACTTGACAGGATGTCTAGGAACTATTGCAATGTTCAATTCCATCCAGTGGGGAGCATTTGTTAGGAGACTGCTATGGGGCCACAGCTCAGTGTGAGGCTGTCCTGCAGACCTGGAATGCTCTCCCCTCCCCCAGCCTCCAAAGCTCAGCTCAGCCCCCCCCCCCCCCCCGCCCCTTTCCTAATCTCCCAGTTGCTGGTGCCTTCCTCCAAAATCTCCTTGTATTCATTATTCATTTTTATAAACCTCTTGGTGTACAAGGTGTTTTCCCTAGACTATAAGCCCTTTCAGGGCAGACACTGCTTCCTTCCTGATGACAAAGCTCCTCCTTGCCACCCTCTGTTAGCACCGATTGCACTTTCGCTCAGTTTCAGCAGTCAAATCGAGCTTTATTAGTGCCTGCTCTGTGCTAGGCACAGTGCTGAACTCCAAAGAAAGGCAAACGTCAGAACCAAAAAACCCACAGCTCCCATTCTCGAGGAGCTCATGGTCTATTTCTTGGTGGTGCCAGAATGTTCCTTGCGGCCCATGGCCATGACCTAACAAGCGCTCTGTCCCGTAGTCTCCCTGGCAGAGGTACGCTCCACCCAGATTTATCATCCAGCTCAGATCTCAGTCGTCGTTATCTGCTCACCCCCAGGGGTCATAGTCTTCTTCTCCAGCCCAACTCCTTCCCTCATTCAGGGCAACTTCCACCATTCATGTTGATGTGCCACCAGGCCTTTAATCAGTTCTGTTCCCATGACCCACTCCTGTCTACCTCAGACAGGATGTGGTCACCCTCTTCATTTTGCCATCACCTACAAGGGCCCCACTTTCATGTTCCACAACCTGGTTCTTTATTGTCTTTTATCTTGCCATCCTTACATCTCATTCCTGAACTGACCCCAACATCCCCATGGCCATGAACCCTGACCTAGCTTTAATCTCCTTCACCAATTGGGAGCCTTTGTTGAACTCTCCACTACGGGTCTACACTTGAATCTCTTGCTCCCTTGTCCTATGGCAAAGCACGCCTTGCCAAACAAGTCCCACCCCTGGACGGCTCCCACCATCTCTGCCTCCTTTGCTTCTATTAAATGCTCCTGAAGGGAATGGAAGAAATCAAACCCATGCTGCCTGGGTCCACCATAATACAACATGGCATCCCTTCTGCCCATCCCAGCAGCTGTTTTGAGCCTGTTCTTTCCTCAAGCCTTGCACACCACCCCCTCTCTACCGACGGTCTTGCCTCATACTTTATGGAGGCTCCCATTTGCTGAGAGCCCCCTCTTTTCTCATCTCACCCCATCCTCCTACTATTTCCTCCTTCCCACCTGTCCCTGATCCGTCCCTTGTTTGCCAAGGCCAACCCACTTTCATCGAGGAACTTTGATCCCTCACTTGCACCCTCTCCAGCAGATTCATTCCCTCCCTCCACCCCCAATCCTCCTCACTCTACCTTTATTCTCTTCCTCTCCGGGTTTCCAAGACTCAGACCTCTCTTTGGGTTCCGTTCTCCTGTCTTGAGCACTCAATGCTGGATTTTCATCCACATCCTGCCCATCAATTGTTGGGAGTCCCCTGAGGCTTTGCCCTGGACCCTGCCATCTTGAGCTCATCAGCACCCATCACCACCCTTTCGGCAGCGCCTGGGCCCTCTCGTTCCTTGATCACCAGCTATCAGCCCTGATTTCCTATGGGCTTCACAAACTCACTCATTAGCCAAACAAGTCTTCCCTCAAGCTCCATCACTGTTGAAGGGAAGGGAACGTGACCCTTTAAGTCACTTAGCTCTGAAACCCTTTGTGTTATCTCCCTATTAGGTGACCTCTTGGATTAGAGACTGCCTTGCTTTGTATCAATAGCATGAAGTCCTTTGTACACAGTAAGTGCTTAATAGATGACATTCATTCACTCAGCTATTCTCCCCCATGCATCAATCCAGCTCTCTTCCAAGTGAATTACGGCCCTACAATCCTCCCCCATGGTATCAATTACCCCAAAGTGCTTGGTCCCCACTCTGAGGAATCCTTTGTCAGTGAAGTCAGTTGTGGCACTCACATGACTTCCCCACAGGTGGCCACGTACCACTGTCTGGCCACCATCTTGGCAGTTGCCAGGGCAAAACTAAGGAATTTTGGCTTTGGTGTGGCTAAGGTTGTCCCACCTCTGGCCATCAGCCAACCAGGACTCAGAAAGCCTCCTTCTAACTACTTTTGCCCTTGGAGCTCTCCCCAGATGCAGTTGCAGGGGTGGTGACTGCACCTATCCCCCCACCTTTGATTGCTATCTGGGATGGCCATTCTCCCCCAAGGATATCTTCTCCAGTTTGAGGGCTAACAAAATCCTCCCATTTCATACTCACTTATACCACCCCAGGCAATGAGCACTCAGGTTCCCAGCCCCACCCTGGGTTGGCTCTCTAACAATTCTTAGGCCCTTCCCAAGCAAGGGTTACCAAGAAGGGTTTGGAAACACAAGTCAAAATGAAGCCTGTTTCCAGTGGTGCCATCAACTGTGGTCCCCTCAGCAGCCAGCCATGCTAGACTCTGAAAAGTCTGGTCCAGGGGTGGGGAACCTGCAGCCTCGAGGCCACAGGTGGCCCTCTAGGTCCTCAAGGGCGGCTCTTTGACTAAATCCAAACTTCACAGAACAAATCCCCTTAATAGAAGGGTTTGTTCTGTCAGACTTGGACTCAGTCAACAGGCTGCACCAGAGGACCTAGAAGGCCACACGTGGCCTAGAGGCTGCAGATTCCCCACCCCTGCTCTGGGCTGGGGCCTTGGCGCTGGGCCTTCCATCTGCCCTGCAGGGTAAACCTGTAGAATGACAAGCAGCGCAGCAGACGGGCTGGCTCAATAAAGGCTTCTTGCCTGACGTGGGTTTGTGCAGTAAACCACTCTCAGGGAGGTACAGCTTGAGTTTAAAGGGCTGGGAGCTCAGGGCGGGAGTTACAGGTCTGAGTGGACACTCATGTTGGGCACAGAGGACAAAGTGGGCCCAGAAGGACTCCTATGCAGCAGAAGGAAGACGCAGATCCTGCAGAGGGGACGGAAGCAGGGGCCAGCAGGCGAGTGGGTGGTGGCCCCAAGCCCAGCTGCAGCACTGTCCAGGAGGAGGAGGACTTCCGAGGGCAGGAAGGATCTTGTTTTTAATAAGGATGGAAAGGCACGTTTAAAAGGTGGTCAGGCGGGTGCACGTTGTGGGAGTCAGAGACTGACTGTGAAAGCTGTCACCCTCTCTCTGGGCCTCAGCCCTTACACCTGTGAAATAAGAGACCCACCTTGCACGATGACGGATTCAAGTGAGGAACCGGCCTGAAATGGTGGAACCACCACCAGAGGAACAGCTAGATGGTAGGGGTGTGTTAGGAAACTTGTTAGTGACATTCCCATAAAGCAGTGATAGAAACAGTTACTTTAACTGGTCTGTTTGTTACATAAAGACTTCTCATACTGCTTATAACTTACAAACCAATAAACTTTAATAACTTTATACAAATTATGAATGACTCAAAAATACTTACAAAAACCCAAACTTTTAAGGCACAGAATAGTAACAAAATAGAGAACATTTCCAATTGCAAAGCAGCCATTTTGAAGTGGCCAGTTTAAAAGTTGGCCTTGTAGCAAATTCAGTGTTTATTCAACAAGAGTGGGAAGGTGGGACCGACTGGGGATCTGGTGCCACAGAGGTGCAGTCCCTTCAAAAGTCTGAGGAATTCATGATTTGCATACAAGCATTATTAAAGAGTGAGTCTGCAACGGGAGCATTTTAAAGACCTGGATGCTCTCCTACTGGAGGCGCCCCAGCCCCCACCTTCTCCCTTCTGGGGAAGTTCCCGGGTCACGAGCTCCAGTCACGGAAGCTGCATGTAGACCCATGCACTCCGTCACACCGGCTGTTCACACTGGCCAATTCAGTCAAATTACACCAGAAACAAACTCTAAGCCTGACAGATCGACAGATTTAAAAATAAATTAAACAGGAAAGAAAACACTGGGAAGACTCTGTAATACTGAGGTTCCAGACAGTGGGAATGATCCTAACTTTCAGGGTTCCCAGAGGACGGGAGGCCCAAGAACAAATGGCTGAAACCAAGGGATTCTGCCTCTCTTCTTTAGCATTTCTAATGCATTGTAGGAAACTGGCCTTGGTTTTAACATCAATATACATTCAACTTTAATCAATTTAAATAATTGGGATCACCTGAAAAACAGAAAGTCCTCTCAGAGTAAGCCACCTCTCCACTGGCCCCACCTGCAATGTGGAAAGTCTCTAGAGGAGAGAAAGCAAAGCAAAGCAAAGCAAAGCGAGCTTCCAGAACCACTGGGGTGCTCTTAGCTTCCTCCTGGAAATGGCAGGGTCTGAGCCCCCTGGGCAGCCACACCTTCCCTTCCCCCATCTCAGAAAACAACAGCAGGGTCTTCTCACTGACCACTACCCCATGCTGATCAGATCACACTGACCCCTGTACCAAGGGACATCTTCTAACTCACGACTGGCAGCTTCAGGGGACATTTGGTTTGGTTTGGCTGGGAGGTGGGGAAGCAAGGACAGCAACACCTCGGGCCGCCTGGGACGACGGCATCGACCCTGTCTCTAAACCCAGAGTGGAACCACCACTCAATCTGGCCGCAGTGGAAGGTAAAAAACCCGAGCAGGGTTTCTCACTGAAAGAGTCTAATTGTAGGAAAGCAAACCGGGAGAACACCCCCCAAACCCAACTGTTCAATCATACTGGCTGCCGTTCGAACTCTTAGAAAAAGGAACCAATGGAAGATCTTGTGCCTTTAAATTAAATTAAGATCCTAAGAAAAGTATAAACTGAAACGGACTCCCTCAAGCCTAAAGCAATGCCTCATGGGCGGCGCACTTGTCTAAGGCAAACTTCTCTCGAGTGGTCATTGGCACTTGACGTTTCCCTAGAAAACAAACGCTTTTGTATAGTCTTTGTGAGAAAGAGAGCAGGACCAAGTGTATTAAAAACAAAAGTGCAAACACCAGCCCCCTCCGGATAAAATTAGTGAGCGGACACCTCTGCTCGCTGAGCGTGATCCAATCGCCAGCCCAGTAAAAACCGAATTTGGCACAGCCACCCCAATCTTCACTTGACTGCCCTCTGGGCCTAAGAGACCCCTCCTCGGGACGCCGGACGTCTGGGCCCAGGTCTAGAAGTGACACAGATGTTTTTGAAAGGAGCCTCAGCACAGCCAAGCCCTAAACCTCGGACCCTGCTCAGTAGATGAATTCTCCAGGCATTTCCTGAAGCAGTGGCAGCTCCTCGAATTTGAACCGCTTGGAGATGGCCTTGGGATCCCTCTTCTCTTTCTCCGACTGGCGGCAGGGCCCCAACGTATAGGAAGCCACCACGATCAACTCCTCCGTTTCTGGCTTCTCGGCCTCGGCCTCGGCCGGTGGTTCGGGCACAGAAGCTTCTTTTTCCTGGGCGTCGCTGGGCTCTTCCATTAAACTCTTGACCCGGAAGGGAGGCTCTGGGCTGCTGTCTTGTGCCAGCCAGGGATGTCTCAGACATTCCTCGGCGGTGGCCCGATCCCTGCATCAAACCAACACCAAAACATCACTCATTCTGGCTTACCAGGATGCATCGGACATTCGTAGGGCCTGGGGCAGAAGAAGGGCTGTGGTCCCCAAATGCAGAGGACTGTGCCTACACTTGAATCATTAAAATGATACTGCACATTTGTACAGACTTTCTCAGTGCCTAAGACCTTCTACATCCAGGAGAAACAGCCCTCCCTCGGTGATGAGGAGGCTGGACACCCCACCTCAAACCCAAACTTCCCGCCAGTTATCTTTGAGAAGTACAGGGCTTGGGCTTGGACTGCTCAGCTATGGGCTACTGGAAAACTGACCACGGTCCAGCAGACATCATCCCAAATGAGAAGCACTTACGCGGGCTTCTTAACTAAGAGCGCTTTGATGAAGTCAACGGCTTCCTCCGACACCGCCTCAAACTCCTCCTCAGAGTAACTGATGTTCATCTGGGAGATATTCAGGAAAGTCTCTTGTTTATCGTCTCCCAGGAAGGGAGATATCCCCGTCAGCATGACGTAGGCCAAGACCCCGATGCTCCTGATGCAAAGCAGAAAGGAAGAAGGAAGGCCATGAGAACCTTGGTGACTGAGGTGACTGAACCAAGCCAAAACCACCACGTGGCCCCCAGCATGCTCACCACATGTCGGTCGCCGTGCTGATGGGGTCATAGCTAAGGATTTCTGGGGCTAGGAGAGAAAGCAGAAAAAGAAGTCATTGCAAGACCAGCGCTCCCACAATCCAGGGTCGGCGGCCACAAGCAGCCATCCATGTCCTTTAAAATTCCAGGAAACAGATGACGCCTCAAAGAGGTGCCATCTCCCCCACCTCAAGCCTGATCAGTTGTGGCCAACACCTCCTTCCAACGAGCCCAAACTCAAACCCGGGCGGGAGACGGCTCCACAACCCTGGTGGGAGCGTCTTCCCGTGAGATTTCTATGGGAGAATCTGAGGGGGCCTTGTCTGCATCTGGATCTCGATTCGTTTCCTGGGCTCAGTCAGAGGCGCAGTCCTGCTAAGATGCCAGTAAGAGTTGCCACGTGCTGGTGGACAGCCAGAATCAAAGCCCCCCGGGGCTTTACCCCCACACCATGCACACCCATGGGGGAGACTGCCTGAGGCCGCCTTCATTCTGAGCTTGCTCGAGGTTAAAGGTCTGAAACTCCAGCTACTGCTTACCCATGTTCAGACTCCGTAAGAGTCGGCCCAATATGGCAGATGTTCTGATAAACCTTGTCTTTGGCTGAAAGAAGGCTTGGGTCGAATTCTTTCGGGCAGGACCCGCGTGTTGTGATTTTGGGGTCCCAGGGCCCCTGAACCCCTAAACCACATCATTTTGGTGGCCCGTACGGGGAAACTGCCTAACCTCAAGTTCTTCTCCAGCCAAGACTGGAAGGTATGTAAACTCCCCTCCCTCCTTTCTTGCTCTGCAGTTGGGGTCGCTCTCCTAGCACCAAGGCCTGGAGGTGCTTTTCGGGCAGACAGTTAGGAGACTGCCTCACGCTCGGCCTGATGCCCTTGAGTCAAGAGGGTATCTGTTAACCTCTCTCAGGAGAAGACAGTTTCACCCTTTACCCCTCACTTTTGATTTCGCCCTCCTCCACCTGGGAAAGGAAGGAGGGGGGAGGGGCAGCAGCTACAGCATGGGCCCCACTGGCAATGGCCTTGGGCCTTAGGGCAACCTTTGCCTGGAAGTATCACCCAGGTTCAGCACATCCTGCTCAAGGTAAAGAAACTGGCCTCTGAACTTGGGTAAGCATGCTCTTTTAAATTTGTAGTTTTAACTGTTAGTGGTGAGATGCTGATTCTCTGTATAAAGTAATTTGGAAGTGCATTTAACAAAACTGAAGTCCCCTGATTGGCAATGGGTTTGTTTCAAGTTTCAAATTGTGAACTTTCTGTATCAGTTGTGTCAAGCAACTTTTCATAATTTGGTTACCGCTGAAATAATTTAGGTATTGTTGGTTATTGTTTTAATGTGTAAACTAACCAAAAAGTTTGTTTGGGTATGTATGGCTTGCTGAGAATTTGCAAGTGTATAGAAACCTCTAATGATTGGCTTTTTACATTAGGATAAATTTAAGTTGGAGATGTCAATCCTGGAGAAGTTTTTCCTAAGCTATGATTAGTAAAACTTGCTGTCTGAGGTAAAAGCTCCTAGGATTTTATTTTGAGTCCTCTGATGGGTCATAATCCATTGATAATCAATAATTCACCATCTGAGAGGAATGCCACAAGCTAGGTGGTGATACTGGTGGGAAGTCAGTCTAAGACGGGATCCTCCTGGCTCAGTTTCCCCATTATGTTCCTTTGAAAAGGAATGTTACCCACCTGGCTATTATGTCTGGTTCTGAGTCTGGTTATGAGGTGAATTTGATACTGCATGGTTGGAAAACTGAATTATCTGAATCTAAACAGAGCTAAGGATGTTTTATCCTGTCATATCTGGGCCCTGCAGTATTTTCTGTCAGATTTGTGTCTTCCAGACTACAGGCCACTCACCTACAGATGGTAACAGTGAGTACCAGCCAACATCCCCCCATCGTTCCCTGGATGCAGCCTGTGCTCGGTTCCAGTCAACCTCCTCTTTGGGACCCCGCTTGAGGCAGGGACAGCTCTAAGCCCCTTGCCAGCAGGAAGCAGTTTCAGAAGCCAAGACCTTCGTCCCTTACTCCAAAAGAATTTGGGTTCCATTTGTTTGAGGGGGAATGACGGGGTTGGGATCTGGGCCCCAGAAAGGAAAAACCCTGGACTTTCCCATATCAAATCTCTGGCGTTTGCCTGGGGTTATGGTCCCATCAACCGGATTTTCATTGTGGCTACACCCAATCTCCCCTCCATTGTCTTGCCTCCCTATGGCCCTAGGCCACTTCCTACCCTTGGTAATTCTATGGCCTCATGGACTACTTGGTCACTCTTAGATCCCTCCCACAGTCTCATAGTCTTTCTGTATATAAGGTCCATCTTGTCTCCATTAAGATGCTTAGATTCTTAAAATCTAGACATAACTCTGATTCTTATAATCTAGCCACTGCTTAGATTCCTAAAATCTAGCCACTGCTCAGATTCTTATAATTTAGCTACTGCTTATTCGTATTCAGACTCCTTAAGAGTCTGCCCAATATGGCAGATGTTCTAATAAACCTTCTCTTCGACTGGAAAAAAAAAAAAAGGTCTGAAACCACACCTCCCTCCTCTATTGAAACCACCCACAGAGACCTTAAAAATGGTCCCAACAGTGGGGTCCTGAGGGATAATCCAGATTCGCTCTGCCTGTGTTAGTGCCTGATCAAGGAGCCACTTGAAACCCCAGAAAGAATTTCTGAAATTCTTTCCATCCTCTAAATTCCCTTCCCCCTCCCAAGTCAGGATAAAAATCAGCAGTGAAGATAAGAGAGAACCAGGGCCTGGCCAGGGAAGGCTCTGGCTGAGTGACCCTCCTAGGGAGGCCGCACCTCCCCCAGGCCATTCAGGAAGCCTGCAGAAGCCTGCCACCTGCGGAAATTCTGTGTGAAGCTTTGGAGATCCCAGTTTTTTTGGTAGCAGAAGGAAGGTAATGGGGCTTTTAACAGCACCAGGTAGCATTCAAATGATGTGCAGAATCAAGGGGTACAGAATCATTCCAAAAAGAATACTTGGAATGATTTTATGAACTATTACTGAGGTTAAGATGATCACTGAAAAGGCTACCATATGGCCTTATGATACAAATTATTTGTTCATGAAATGCCACACCTGAAGGCCCTCCTGTGCTGCTCCAGCCTGGGTACACAGACAAGGGCTCCTATACCACACAACCCTCACCATCCCGTCACACTCTTCTGATGCCAGGACCTTAACCTCAAAACTCTTTCAGGTAAAAATAAGATTTCAAGAATTGGGGCAGCTGGGTGGCACAGGGGATAGAGAGAGCACCGGCCCTGGAGTCAGGAGGACCTCGAGTTCAAATCTGGCTGCACCAGCTGTGTCCCTGAGTAAGTCACTTCACTCCAATAACCGCCACTCCCCGCCCCCCACCCCCCATTTGGGAATCACAACAGTGAACAAAGGTGTTTCTGGACACCCCCCACCCAAGACCAGCAGGCTGATTCTCCTGGACATGTCCTCTATTCAGTGACCTTGGTGTCCTGGCTGTTCAGCCCTCCCCTGATGCCTCAAACACTTCCTCCTCCAGGGTTCCCTGGCTCCTTCAAGTCTCAACCAAAATGTGCCCCCACCCACCCCCCTGAATCCCCTTCATCCTGCCTGGGGCTTGTCTGCAGGTTTGCTGGCTAGCTGTCACCCTGTTAGACTGGGAGTGCGCCAAGGGCAGGGACCATCTCCTGCCTTTCTTTGCATCCCCAGCATGAAGCACAGTGCCTAGCACACAGTAGGCACTTAATAAATGCTTACTGAGTGACTGTCCAACCTGGGACAGGTAATTTATCTCCCTGGTCCAATTTTCTCTTCTGTGAAATGGGGGGGAGTGGCGTCTTCCTCAGAACCCTTCCCCCTGCTGAATACTCACCCACATATTCTGGTGTTCCCATAATTTCTCTGAGCTCCTCACTGCTCTCCATCATTCTCGAGAGGCCAAAATCAACAATCTTGATATCACCCAAGGGACATTCGCTTGTCAGGAGGATATTCTGGGGCTAAAACAAACCAAAAAGATCCCCAAATACATCATAAAAATAAAGACCTGATGTGTAAAGCGACAGCCAGCTTGTTCTGCTACAGATCAGTCCCCAAGGAAGCGATTCTTTCACGATTTATGTTTACCTGACACTGCGAGGCCTGCAACGCTCAACCCTGGGAGGGGGATGCTGGGTACCGGCTTCATTTTACAGACCAAGAGACAGAGGCTCCCAGAAGGGGCTGCGGGCACAGCAGCATCCACATTCCCCCCCCCCGTCCAAAGCCAAGGCCAGCACCAGCTCCACCACGCTCCCTCTGAGAACACCAACACAGGCCGTCCGTGTGGCCTTCCAGCGACCGCAAGCTCACCTTGCCCCCATCAGCTCCTGAAGAAGAGGGAGCCCGGCACTTGGCACTAAGTGTGCACTGAGCAGACAGGGAGCACACATGGTAAAGTGAGCCCGGCCCTGCTCTCGAGGGGCTCCCTCTCTAATGGGGGAGACAACATCTGGGGAAGGTCCCAGGCCCCTGAGGGGGCAGCCGCAGAGCAGGGGGCCATTCCCCACTGAGAGAGTCACGGCAGTGCCTGATGTGGAGCCTGGCCTATGGGACTCTGGTGACTAGGGCTTCCTTTTCCCTGCAGTCCCTGCAGGAGCAGGGCCCAGGCTGCATCTCCCCGGGGGCGCTGGGCGGGAAGCCTGGTTCTTCCCAAGGCTCCTGGGCTCAGGGTCGGGGGGTGCTAGTGCTGACCTGCCCGGTACGTGCTGCTTCAACCAGGCTGGCCCTCAGCAGAGCCTCAGGGCACCGAGCTTTGGGGGCTGTGCTCTCCCCCTCCTCACTAGCCATGCAGCCGGGGACACAGAAGACAGAGCACTGGGCCTGTCACCTCCCTCACTGGGTTGTTGTGACAATCAAATGAGATGCTCTTTATCACAGTGCTCAGCACACACAGTGCCTGGCACAGAATAAGCATTCTAAGAAATGCTAATTCTCCCCCAAGCCTCCCCTCAGTTTATTTGTGAAGCTGGTTTTTAACCCGGAATTTCCCCTTTCAATTCAGCCCCACGTTGAGATCCTGGCTGCCGCGTGCCACGGGCAGGCCACACTCCCACGCTGGCCATCGGAGCCCACCCTGGGCCCTGGAAGATGTCTGTCTGCTCTGGAAGGGGCTGCCTTAAGGCCCTGAAGCCCTCAGCCAACGAGGAAGCTGCAAGTGAATTCACTTTACTGATACGGCAAGTGGTGGGGGGAATGGGGCTTTTATTTCTCATGCAATGGCTTTTTATGGGAAATGTGTTCTTTTGGAAGGATTTGCTGGTCGTCTCTGCCTCCATGAACAACGTGCAGCATCTCTAACCAAAACCCCCACAGAAAAGTACTCCCCACCTGGCCCGGATTTCACTTTCAAAGACAAAGACAAAGTACGAGAAGGGAAGCACATTTTCTGCTCTGGAAATTCTGGAAGGACCTATGCCAGTCCTCAAAGTTCCCCCTTCCCCAACCCAAAAGCCACCCAGGCAGTGGGGTTGGGGGGATAAAGGGCCGGCACCAAGGAAATGCCCCCTGAAGAGTTAACCTCTGGAGCCGGGGACCCAGGGCCAGGCCAGACCCGGGAGTGGGCACTGGGGAGCCCACTTCACAACTGGGTAGCTCCGACACTCCCTGCTTCTGCCAAGGGCTTAGAGCCCCACCCTCAGGGCCTGCTCATCTCACCAGCTGGGGGTCTCCATTTTTACCTCCTTCTCTGCTCTTCTACCGCCCGCTTGCCAGCGTCCTCTCTAACACCACTCCAGCTCTGGTCTACTCACAGCTAAAACACCCTGGTGGTGGCAAGGCACAACTGGACAAACTCCCTGCCCTCAGTGCCCACGTGGGCTCCCTCTTAAATTTACCCACATCAGATCCCGCCCAATCCTCCTCACTTGGAGACGCTCCAGAATTGTCTCCCTGGCTGCAAGTGTTATCAGGGTGCCATGGGTGCTTTGTAGATGTGGCATGGTGCAGAGGGCACCATCTGGGCAGATCTGGGGGTCCAAGCCGGGCCTTCTCCTGCCAGACGCCACAGAGTGCATCCCATGGCTTCTTCCCCAGAGGACCCTCATCTCTCTTTAATGGAACTGTGGTCTGCCCGCCTCATCTCTCCCTCTGACTTTTTTCTAAACAGACTCTTGGAAATAGGGAAGCCAGCTTGGCTCTACCAAGAATAGGTGACCTCTTACCCCACAGCGGAGCCCAGGCCCTGGAGGAACATCTAGCCTGGGCCTCCCCATTCCTGCTGGGCCCCCCAGAGCCATCAGATTCTTCTACAACACTAGCTTCAGGGAGGCCCCAGGCAATCAGCTAAGAGGCGTTCATGAAGCATTGGCTGTGTGTGTGTGTGTGCCTGGCACTGTGCTAAGGGCTGGGGTACAGAGGAAGGCAAAGAGCCCCCCCCATTCCTTCCCTCCAGCTCAGTTTCTAAGGGAGGAGACAACGGAAGGCGCTAGGAGTGGGGGGATGGTAGAAATGGAGGGAGGGCATCAAGCACAGGGAAGCATATAAGGATGGGGGGGTGGGGTGGGGGCTTGGAGAAGAGTCAAGCCATGAGGGTGGGAGAGGGCCACACTGGGAAGGGGTTTAGGTAGCGGCTGAGTGGAGGGAGCCCAGGCAGGAGGCGATGAAGGGGCGAGTGAGGTGGGCAGATGGGGACGTCAGGGTGTCCAGTCCAGGGAGACTGAGCTGGGTTTGAGGAAAAGAAAACGAGTTCTGCTTCGCTGTACTGAGCAGCTGTGACATGGCTGTGGGGCTGGGTGTCACCTGCCTGAGACCCCCAGCCTCGGAGGGCACCTGTGGTCAGCACCAGGAGAAACCGTGTTACAGAAACCCGAGAGGCCACCTTAGATGCCAAGGGGTCCGAGATATTATGACTTCGGGAGGATCGAAAAAGGGCCTTTTCATCAGGCAACTGAGATGTCTTTCAAGGGCGGCTTCCATGGAGCAAGGTGGTTAGAGGAGGAGGCCCTTTGTGAGACGGTTTTCTCAAGGAGTTTAGCCCCAAATGGGTGTGAGACAAAGGATAGTTTCAAGGATGGCCAATTGAGAAGGGGCTGTTGGTTTTGAAAGAATGAGGGGTGTTTGGAAGCAGCAGCTAGCAATGGTCAGTGAGAGGGTGGGCATGACAGGGGGGCAAAGGGCAGGCTGGGAAAGGGGCCAAGGTGGGAGGAAAGGCATCAGAGCAGGGGAGGCCAAGGCTGAACAGCAGTTGGGGGGAGGGGGCCTCCCTTACTGGCCACGGCCTCCACCAGTTTCTTGCAAAAACCAGCTTCTACACTGCCCAAAAGGGTGGGCAATAGTCTCTTCTTCAAAAAAAAAAAAAAAGAAAAAAAGAAAAGAAATGAATGACATTTGCCTTGTTTTCTTGGCAACGGAAAAGAGATGATAAGATTAAAGGATGTCCCCCTCTTGGCCTCAGCACTATCCAGTGAAACCACCATTTTGAAAAACTCTGCCGTGACATGCTGTGCTCCACACTCATGGTCCCCCACCTCGGACCCAAGGGCTGGGGGAGGGAAAACACACACCCTTCCAATGTCTTCATTTCACCCCCTCCCCCTTGCTGAGATCTCGGTGCATTCAGCCCTGTTGTCCGAGGGCCCACAAGGGCCGGCCTGGCAGGTATGGGGCCACTGAGGAAGCTGAAATCCTGCCTTGGACCCAGTGACCTTGGGCAAGCCCCTTCCCTCTGACTCTGGGTCCTGCCTCACAGGACTTGTGATTTCAGTATCTTTAAATCCTCTAGAAAAGCAAAACCTCTTTAAAGCAAAAAGCCTTGGCCCCTCATTTCTAACACTGCTCACACAAGCACCATCAGCAGCCTTCTTGCCCCAGGCCTTTGCAAGACCATTAAATGAAAATATTGTTTTTTCTGGGATTTGGGAAGGACTTACAGGAATAGACAGCATTTGGAGGGCTCCTCTATGTGCCCTACTCTGGGCTAAGCCCCGATAATACTGTCTCACTGGACCCTCACAACTAACCTGGGAGATTATTCTACAATAATCTCCATTTTAAGCTGAGGAAACTGAGGCAAAGAGAGGTGAAGTGGCTTGCTCAGGGTCACGCAGGGAGGAAATGGGCTTCCCGAGGGTAGGAAGCATTTTACTTTTCTTTGCATCCCTAGAGCTTAGCAGAGTGCCTGGCGCACAGCACAGTAGGTGCTTAATAAATGTGTAATGACTGTCTGAATGAGTTCTCATGTCTGGTTCTAAGTCAGCCGGTTACAGTTACAATGCAAATGCCTGGAAGAGGGCTTTCAGGAAACCCCCTTTTTCCTCCCAGCTCGATTCTGTCCTGCTGCTTCTGCAAACACGACGCCGTGGCCTCGTCGCCATGGCCTGTGGCTAGCGAGGCCCAGGGACTTTGGTCTGATGACACAGGCGCATCACCCTGATACCGAGGCCTCAGGAGAAGTCGGTCTGAGCAGGTAAAGACTCTGTAAACCAAACCACGAGTTGGCTCCTTTCTCATAAACACAAACCACAGGCTAACAGGGCAGACAGGCGGCCTCACAGCCCTTCTCGCCCACTTCCAATACAAACGACATTTTCATTCCATCCATTGTAGCTGGCCTGTTCATTCTCTCTGCCTCCGGCCCACTCCCCCCACCCAAGGTCCTCTCTCTGCCCCCTGCCCTGGTTCATGCCCTCCTCATCTCCTACCCCGCACAGGCCCCCTCTGCACTCACTGGAGCACACCCACACCGTCACCTTTCTCACTGGCTGTGCCCCAAGATGAACGCGCCCCCTCCACGCTTCCATCACAACACCCAGCTTCCTTCAGGGCTTGACTCAAACATCCCCTAGTACATCAGGCTCTTCCCAATTCTGTCTCCATGCCCCAAATCGCGAGTCTCTGCACAAAAGAATTGCCTTGTATCTATTTTGTACACAGTAGGTCTAAGATCTGTGGAAGTCCATGGTGTCTCCCCCTGGACAGCAAAGCCTGTTTTCACTTTTCTTTACACTTTAGCTCCTAGAATAATGTTGGGCGCATAGCAGGCATTTAATAAATGTTTGTGGGTTATCTGTATGACCACCTAGCAATCAATCAACATTTATTAAGCACCCTACTATGTGCCAGGCACTGTGCTAAGTGCTGGGGATACAAAAAAGAGGCAAAAGACAGTCTCTGCCCTCAGGGAGCGGACAGTCTAACGGGGTAGACAACAAGCAAATCAAAGCAAGCTGAGTGCAGGACCAATAGGAGATTATGAACAGAGGGAAGGCACTGGAATTAGGAGGGGATGGGGAAGACTTCCTGGGGGAGCTGGTGGGGATCAGTGGTGGAGCAAAGGAGAGAGCGTATTGCAGGCCTGGGGGATGCCAGACAGAAGGCCAGAGCACAGAGATGGAGGGTCTCATTCACTGGAGGCCAGCGTCACTGGATGGAGGAGGGCATGGAAGGGAGTAAGGTGTGAGAGGCCCAGAAAGGTAGGAGGGGCTGAGTCGTGAAGGGCTTTGAATGATGAGCACAGCATTTTATATCTGCTCCTGAGGGGGAAAGGAAGCCACTGGAGTTTATTTAGCGAGGAGCAGGGGCAGCCGCCAGCAGCTACTGCCATAGGCTAGGAGGGAGGAGATGGGGGCCTGCACCAGAGGAGAGAAGTGGGTGTATTCGGGAGATGCTGCAAAGTGAAGTGGACAGGGTTTGGCACCATATTGGATAAGGGGGTGGGAGCCTGGGGACCTGGGAGGAGAGTGTTGCCGTCTGGAGACATGGGCAAGTAGAATGAATTCTGTTTTGGACATATGGGTTTAAGATGTCTACTGAACATTTGGCTTCAGATGTCTGAAAAGCAGTTGGAGACGTGAGATTGGAGATCAGCAGAGAAGCTGGGGCAGGAAGGAGACCTGAGGATCACCAGCACACACGTGATCATTAAATCTGAAGAGCTGAGAAGATCACCCAGTGAAGTAGGAGGACAGGACCCTGAGGACACCCACGGTCACACAGGGTGTGGTCTGAAGGAGAATTCAGCAAAGGAGACAGAGGAGGAGCCGTCAGGGAGGGGGGTGAATTAAAAACCTAGAGAGGAGAGAGTGACCAGCAGTGTCCAAGGCTGCCGAGAGGCCGGGAGAGAGGACGGAAAAGGGGCCACTGGATCTGGTAACTAGATCGTTAGTAACTTTGGGAAGGGCAGTGTTGGTGGAATGACAGGTCAGAGCCTGACTCCGCAGGGTTAAGAGTAGACGAGGTGTTTAGTGTGATCTGTAAGCGTCCCTCCTGTAGCCCAAGGTCTGGTCCCTAAGGAGGCTCTCAGACCACCCTGGCCCCCCTGTGCCTTGCCTGGAGCCTCCCACGAGCGCACCGGCCACGTGGCCTTGTCAGTTTCCACAATGAAGTTTATAAGAAAATGAAACCTCACCTTCAAATCAAGATGAACCACGTTGTGGGCGTGTAAAAAGGAAACGCCTTCTACAATCTGCCTCATGAGTCTCTGCACATCCTTCTCTTTAAAGGCGTCTTCTCTCTCAGCTACACACTGGTCAAAAATCTCACCTCCAGCAGCACTAGGAAAAAACAAGTTAGAGAGCGCTAGTCCCAAACTAGTGTTTTACCATTTAAGCTACACAGGGCGAGCGGCGCAAACATTCTGACAGTCAGTAGACTAGTATTTTGAAGGGATTTTAAAGTACAAAGTAGAATAATTAATTTGTTTACATTTCTTTGTGATGCCTTTTTTTATATTCTGATGACTTTTTGTTTTTTTTAAAGGCAGTTGGGGTTAAGTGACTTGCCTAGGGTCACATAGCTAGTAAGTGTCAAGTGTTTGGTCTGAGGCTGGATTTGAACTCAGGTCCTCCTGACTGCAGGGCAGGGGGTGCTCTATCCACTGTGCCACCTAGCTGCCCCTATTTTATATTCTGAGAAGGCAGCTTTAACTATCTGCTTACATTTGTTGTCAGTACAATTCAAAATGACAGTCATCAATGAGCCTATCGCTACATCCTCAAGCAAAAATGTCACGTTTCAAACCAGTCTGATCTACGCATCGTGACGCACATAAACCTTCATCTGGGCAGTCACACTCTGCGTCTGAAGGCAGCTCACATAGGAGAGGCCATAACCAGAATGACGTTCTTCTTCACGCTAAGGGCCCTTCACTTGGGGATGTCCAGATCTGAGTTTGGGCCTGAGGCACCACTTGCTGGCTGTGCCGCCTGAGCGACCGCTCATTCAGGCTTCCAAAGGACTCTGTAACCACCAAGCATCACGTAAATGGAAGAGGGCAGCATCGTTACCATACTGGTCTAAAAAGAGGCTATTCTCTTAAATTCAGATTTATTTGAAATGAAAAAAAAAAAGTTACGCACAAATGTTACGCACTGAAAAACAAACTGTGTTAACTACAAAAATGACTCTCTGGAAGAAATTTGATATTTTTCTACAAGAAAGAAGGCTTTACTATATAAAAATTTAAGGCAAGTTAAAGGAAATCCAGAAGAGATGTAATTTTATAAAGGAAGAAAAGATTTTCCTCATGGTTTAGGGGGTGCCCTCTTACACGATCTCAGGAAGTTCCAGGTGGAAGGGCCTCAAAGAGCACCCCCTTCTATAAACGGATGTCAAAGGCCTCACAAAGAGGGGAGACGACAGGGTCGAGGTCAAGCTGGCAGGGGGACGCACCGTCTCCACTGACTAACCACGACACCCTCAGGGATTTCCCACTCATCGCTTTTGTCCCTTTTTCTGAGAAATCTCACTGACCAATTTCCTAACATACACTGGCTGGAATGTTCCCTTCTTACTAAGTGGTGATACTTTTCGTGGAGAATTCCCTACGACTCCCCGGATGCCTGCTCGACCCCTCACACGGCACCCTGCTCTGGCCCGACTCTTACTGCCTTGCCAAGATCAGACCACGAGCCAGCATTTGAAAGGAAGACCTGCTGCTTCTTGAAAAATGCGGAGGTGAGCAGAGCAGGACTCCAGGGAAAAGAGACATCCCGGGAAGGAGTGAAAATGGGAGTCTGATGGAATTGTTTAGAAAAGACATTTGAAAATGCTGCTTTGTCAAAGACCTGGATCTAATTTTCTTCCATAGTAGCATGGTCCCTGGGCACTGCCAGCCTCTATACCCTGACATGCTACTCCAAATTTATGTTCAAAGTTTGTCAAACCATGTGAAGAAGCATTTTAAGCCCCTACTGTGTGCCAGGCACTGAGCCAAGTGCTGGGGACACAAAGAATGGCACAACACCAGCGCCTGCCTTCCAGGAGCTCCCAGTCTAATGGGGGGGAGGGGTGCACAACAAGCTAGAGGCAGGATCGGGGGGGTGGGGGCGGGTCTCAGAGGGGAGGCACTAGAAAAGGCTTCTGGCAGAAGGTGGGATAGTAGCTGGGACTTGAGGGAAGCCGGGTTGAGATGAGGAGAGAGGATTCCAGGTATGGGGACGGGCCCAGAAGACTTGTGGGTAGTCAGGAGATGGAGAGTGGGGTGAGAGAAACAGATCTTGTTTACCATAAGCTCTGTTCAGATAAATCCTTGGAAGTGGAGTGAGGTAAAAAGTGAGAGCCTAATCGTCCCCAACAAAGAGAGCCTGGGCCAGGAGAAGCAAAAGCCAACAGAAGCAGCAGTGCTGAGTCTGAGGCCAGAAGGCCAGTACCAGGGGCACCTGGAGATCGACTAAACTGAACAAAGCTAAGGCCCCAAACACAGAACTCAGACAATCTGCCTGATTTTAAACTACATGGGGAGCAGGGCTCATGTTCTCTCATCTAAGCAAAGCCCTCAGGCTAATCGCCTCTGCACCAATATCTCCTTCCCTTCAGTCTCAGCCCCCACTCCTCCCAACGTCGAGCTCCTAGAACACGGGTTCCCAATATTTTTACATGTGTGCATGTGTGTGGCTATGTGTGTGTAAGATGGACCTCTTGGGCAGTCTGGTAAAACTGAATAATTCAATAAATGAAGGCAATTTCAGTTAGGAGTTTGAGATCAAGATGTGATTTTCCCCTCGATACAGGTTTATGGACCTTAAATCTATCCATGGCCTCCTTAAGCATCTGTAGACTCAAGGATAAGCAATCCCCGCCTTAAAATGAAAATGTACGATTCTAACAGGCCTTGGGGACGGTTTCAAAGGAGGAGGAGGAGCAGGAGGACTGGGTAGACAGTCTTAGGACTATTTCTGTTACAATGTTATCTGGCATTAGAGCTTTTCCAAGGAGTGATCCCTGTTAGAAAATGTTTCAGAAAATTCCCTGGTTCCAGACTGACTACTCCCATAGCCCTGGGTTATCTGGGTTAGCTCTTGAGCTCCACGTCATAGGAAGACCAGTCAGGAAGTTAAAGAAGGCTTGGTGGGACCACGCTGGCCGCCTTCAAGTACCCAAAGGGCTGCCCTCCACAGGAGGGGACGGGCTAGTTCTGCTGGGCCTCAGGACAAAGGACGGAGTAAAGAGCCAAAGCAGCAGAGGAAGATTCAGACTTGATGTAAAACTTCCTAACAATACGAGCCTGACAACCTGGTGTGGCGGTGACTCCCCCTTTCTGGAGTCTGCAGGCCAGGCTTTGGTGGATGGCCCGGCCAACTCTCCAACTCGGTGCTTCTGACCGTCCAGTGTTTGCAAAACTGTCCTCTCTCCCATGCTCTTGTTCTGTAGCGGGACAGGAGGAAGACTGTGTCTAGGGGCCTGCCTGCAGTTGATGGAGAACCTCCTGGAAGGGAAGGGGCCACCCCCATGGCTGTCCTGTTCACTCTTGATCTCTGCACGCTCAGCCGCGCCGAGCGGAAAAAGGCACAGACGTGACAGACACAAGCATCTGACCGTGTGAGGACGTTTCTCATGCGCTGCGCTCATCCCTCAGCTTGCGCCCTGACGCTGTGTGAGAGAAAGGCCCACGCAGGGAAAGGGGCAGGCCGGCCAGAGGCCCCTCTGCTCGCTCCTCCTGGCCATCTGAATCCTACAGACACGTCTACACGTTTTCATTTAAGGGTGAGCACTTACTATTCCAGCACCAAGATCATTTCTGATGAGGTTTCATAGACTTCATGTAAGTTGATGACCCGCTGACTGTCCCGGGTTAGTTCAAGGACTGCGATCTCATGAATTATGTCCACCCGGCACTCTTGGCCTTTCCTTCTTTTTCTCATGAATTTTGCAGCAAATTCTTTCCCAGAATCTTTCCTGACACACTTCCTGACCACCGCAAATTTGCCTCTGGAATTAAGTAAAAAGATAGACACTTAGGTGACCACAGATTTTCTGTACACAGAAATATTTTTTTTCTAATGATCAAATTACCACCGTAAATGAACAATATCCTAATAATAAAGAATTACATCAAACTCCATCCACAGCAGAGGTGACAAACTCAATGCCCCAACCGGATTACAATGGGATTGGGCAACAGCTGAGCAAAATGAAAATACAACACAACACAGATAATGTTCATTTGTGGTTTTCTAAGTCAACAGTGGCCCATGGGGATCTGTTTCCATTTGAGTCCCACACCCCTGCTCTACCAAATAAGTTTTTGCAAACAAAATTATTATTTACAACACTAATTACCTGGTAATTTAGGTTTTAACTGGTGACAATCTTAGATCAATGCTTACAAGGATTCACTTTCACATGGCAAAACTTCCCTCTAAGAAATCTAAGAGGCCCGGGCACCCTCCAGCCCAATTCTAGAATGCTGGTGGCCTACCCCTCCTCTGGAAGGCACTCTCTCCTTACTGAAGGCAGAAGCTCAGAGGCCATGTTGGGTAGGAAGCCCTTCCTGATGCCTGGGTATGCCAGTGCCCCCCTCCCAAATTACCTTGCATTTAACTACTTTGGACGTACTGGAATTTATTTGCCCTCCATTTCTTCGACCTCGTCTCTTCATAGGAACCTACTGCTTCCCTCATTAGAACGTCAGGTGGGCAGGATTGGCCGCCCACTCTGTACTTGACTCTCCAGCATCCCTCCCGGTGCCTGGGCCAATCTCTGACTGATTCTGTTCTTGCCAGTCCAGTGAATCCTCAGCTGCCCATGGGCCGGCTTTCACCTGTCTATCTCACAAGCATCTGGAACAGAACGCACTTCCTGCCAACCTGGACCACACACACTTCCCTACTTGTCCCCCAATCACACTGGCCGCCTGCCTCCTGCCCTGCCCTCACCCCCATCCCACCGCTAATCAATTGCTAAGAACTGGTGATTCTACCTCCACAGCACAGAAATCCTTAGGCGGTTTGCTGAGCATTTATTAAACAACTATTGTATGTCAGGCATCGTCCGGTGTGGAGGGTACAAACACAAAAACAAAACCATCCCTATGTTCTAATGGAGGGGGCCCAAGGCAACAAGTACATTAAACACCTCATACGGCACAAATATAAACAAACACACAAGGCAGCTTGGGAGGGAGGGCGGGAGAGCTTGGGCAATCAGGAAAGGTTTTCTGGCAAAGAGCTGGAAGCTGGGGGCGGGGGGGGGGGGGGGGGGGGGGGGGCGCCCGCGGGTCAGCCCATCAATAACCATTTGTGAAGAGCCAGGTCAACGTGCCCGGTGTGTGCTGGGCACAAGGGATAGAGGGAAAGGCCCACAGGAGCTCCCAGGCTAATGAGGGAGGCAGTGTGCCCATAATAGGGTACAGAGGAGACCCCGGACAGGCCCAAGAGGAGACGGCCACCAGTCCGAGGCGCTGGGCCAAATGACCCTATGCGTACAGGCCGAAGAGGGCACGGGAAGGACAAGGGATCCGTGACAGCCAGACTGTCAACTGTGGGACGAGCCCCCAAACCCGGGGGCCTGGAGATGAAACGGGGCTGCCCAGGCCCCACAGGGAGGCCAGGAGAGGCACTGGGGGGTGGGGGTAAGGGGACAGGGGCTCACTGGGGGGTGACAGGGGACAGGGGCTCACTGGGGGGGTAACAGGGGCTTACTGGGGAGGTAAGAGGGGACAGGGGCTCACTGGGGGAGTGACAGGGGCTCACTG